TTGTTCTGTGGGTGCTTCTTCTGGGCTTGACCTAACTTTGGGTGTCCAGCAGGCAGAGTCAGGTGGTGACAGCCCATGGGAGAGAAGAAGTTCCTCTTGCTTGTGACAAGGCTGGAGCACATTTGTAGCTCCCCTCCCCTTTTACCTTCCAGTCTCATCCCTTTAGTGCTTTAATCCATTGCCTGGAGCTGAAGGGAGTGTTTGGCAGCCTGTTCCAGGTATTGCTGAGTATCCTGCCTAGATGTGTGTGTTTGGCTAATAACTGGAGAAGCACTTTGGCAAGAATGGGAATGAAAGTAAGCTTTTGTAGCCGATGTCCCTGAGAGGTATTTGTGGGGCAAGTATCCTTGTTTCATCAGCCCAGGACCCCAGGGCTTTTTTGCTGTCACCTAGTTCAGGTCCTTTAACAAAGAATGTAACATACTGGTGCATGATGCCTATGCAATATTTGAATGACAAAGCCTTGACTTTAGTTTTTGTTTTTTCGGTATTGTTATATATTTATCCTATCACTATTTTCTTAGGCAGCAGAGTTTACCTGTCTAATACCAAAGCCAGAGCTACAACTGGTTTCCTTACATTGGGATGTGCTTCGTGGGTCCTGTTCGTGGAATAATAAAAGAAGTGCAAGCGGTGCATGGGTGTTTTTCTCCTTTTTCAATCCTAGATCGCATTTGTCAGGCTGTGGCAGGAGGAGGAGGCTTGTGGCAGAGCCCGGCGGGGTTGGGTGTGGCCGGCCCGCCCCAGGCGGGCGCTGTCGCCGCGGTTGTCGCCGGCCGGGCGGGAGGGGAGCGGGGCAGCCTCCGCCTGTCCCCGCCCGCGGGGCATCCCCGGGACTGGGGCGGTGTCGGGAAGCAAGGTGGAAATCTTTCCTCGGCTCCGGGAACCGCAGCGCTTCTCAGGCAGTGTGGGCTGCGGGCCCTGAAGGGGTTTGGGTGCAAGGCTTGCGCGGGTGGTGTAAGGAGAGGAGAGCGAAGGCGCGCCCCGGGCTATTGGTTTAGATGGTGGGTCGGGAGGTGCCGGTGTTTTCTTTAGCGTAGAGCTTGATAAGGGAACATGCAAAGCTGCCGTGCCGCTTGTGTGTCTTCCGGACAGAGCTGACAGTGCTATTCGGAATTTCTGTGGGCGGTCCGTGGATGAAATGCGTAGATTCTGATGCAGACTCCTCCTCTCCTTGCATTTGGACCTTCAAGGAAGCAGGAAACCTGACGGTTCTGCTTTCAGAGGTGTGGGGAAAGCTGCTGTGTGAGTGAAATGTGTGGAGGGTACAGGGTCCGTGATTCTGAAGAAATTTGATGTGGGTTTGCCAGGACAAATCCTTACACTTTTCTGTTATAATGGGGAAGATTTATAGATTTATTTTTTATTTAACATAATGCCATTAACTTGAAGTAATAAATAAGTTTGTTAGTGATGTGGGCAAGAAACATCCTATTATGTAATGACTGATATGTGATAGGTGTGATTTGGTTTATTAGTTTATTTGGAGTTCTTGTTGAGCATTTTTTCAGTTTGGTTGGGGAATTTTTTTTTTTTTTTTTGGTATGAGAATGTTGCAGTGACAATGAAATTCTTGCTAGTCTTCTTCCTTTTAGGCCAAGTCATTCTGCCGGCTTCTCCCAGCCTGCCTGGCAGATTTAAAACCCACTGTGCACATGTAGAAGCAAGCTGCAGGTACCACTGAAGGTCTGTAGACTTAGAGAAGGTAAGAGTTGGTAATTCTACTGTTCTCCAGGTCTCTAAGTTTGGCTCTGGTTGCCTTTAAAAGGCAAATGATTTTCTGTGTGAAGTCAAGAGAAACTTCTTTCAGGAAGTCGTGAACAAAATGCTGCTGTGCCTGATCACATCAAAAGATGTCACAGTGTGTCAGTGTGGGATTGAAATCCAGTAGCAGTCTCTAATTGGCTGCACTAATTGAAATGTGTAGTATGGGATCTCAGGTGCTTGTGGCACCAAATCAGTCTGGAGTGAGCTGATAATTTTCCAGCCTTTGCTGCCTAGTTTAAACTGGGAGGTTTAAAAGGGAGAAACAACTGTTTGGTAGCCAAGTAAATTTGATCTATTCTCATTCTGTGTTTTATGTCCCAGGCTTGGAAGCATGGAAGGCCTCTGTGCAGCCAACACCACTTTTGCAGTGGACCTGTTAAGGATGCTGTGTGAGAAGAAAAGTGGGCAGAACGTGTTCTTTTCGCCCTTTAGTATTTCTTCTGCTTTGTCTATGATTTTGCTGGGTTCAAAAGGTAGCACAGAAGCCCAAATAAGCAAGGTAGGTCAAAATAAACTTGGTGGTTTGCATTGGATGGGAGCATATGAGGAAGAGTCTGTGACATGGACTTGTGCTCAACTGTGATTGTCACTGTGGTGTGGGAGAGCAGAGCTCTTTGTCTGGTGTGTGTGTGTGTGTGTTTTCTTTGTTTTTGTAGTGTGAGCTTTGTTCAGTATGGAATGCAGAGGTTCCTGGGTTTTGTTGTGTGGGGTTTTTTGTAGTTTTTGAGACCTATCTTCTTCAACATGTAATTAGGAGGTTTGTGGAATTTTTTTATTGATCAGTTGGTGGCTACATCAATTATTTTCCTTTCCTTCTTTGCTTGGGCTTAATATCATACAATACATGTTCTGCAAATGAAGCCAGTCACATAAAAATGTTTTTAAAAGCCCACTGTCTACATTTCCAACTGGTAATAGCAACATGATTTATTCCTTTATCAAATTTTGCTCTGGTAGTATACATGTCTTGGCATGTGTTTTATGTGGGGAGTGAGAATATTAAATGCAAAGCCAGTCATTGTGGTTTGGATGTTTGCTTCCTTTGCGATGTGGGAGCAGAGTATAAACTCCTGTTTTGTTTCCATGTACTTTATAGAAGTTTCTCAAAAAGTTCTGTTGTTGTCATAGTTGGAGATACTGAAAATGCATCTGGACACAGTCTGAGCTACCAGCTGTAGGTGTCCCAGCTTGGGCAGGGCTTTGTCCCTACAGCTCTCTTCTTCCCTGAGCTATTCTGTGATCCTGTAGCACCTGGCTTGAGGGAAGGAAATCAGGACTGCTGACTCTGCTGCTCCCTAATTTATGACTTGTGCAACATCTTGTTGGGTACATTGGATATGCCTTGCATGAAAATCTCCAGATGAGAGGTGTGGTGAAAAAAATCTTTTGATTTCAAGTGACAGTGTTTAAGTTAAGCGTAATTTTACTCTAAAAGCCATCTTGCTGAAGCAAGTGTGTTTAGAGAAGGTATGAGCACTGCTGTGGATGTTGGTCTTTGTGCAGGTGCTTTCTCTGAGTAGCGTCAAGGATGCTCACAATGGGTATCAATTCCTTCTGTCCAAAATTAATGATCCCAACACCAAGTACATCCTGAGAACTGCGAACCGGCTCTACGGAGAAAAGACCTTGGAGTTTCTTCCAGTAAGTAGCCATTAAATTTGTTATGAGTCTTAGTATTAATGCACTTGCTACCTGTTTCCTCTGGAGGTCAAAGTCAGGCTTTGGGTCTTGCCTTCCAAATCTTCTGTGCTGAGAGCCAGGAGTGGAATTGATTCTGGCAAAGCCCGGTGTCTGAACTTGGTAGAGAATCTCTTTGAAATAATTTGTGTTCTGAGTGGACAAGTGATGCCAAGCAGGGTGAAATCCATCAGTTTGTGCACTTGAGGGTTCTGTGATCCATTAATATATTTGGCTGTGGCATGAATAGTTGATATACCTCTAAGCGAAAGTATTATAGAGAAACTTACAAAATCATCAGAAGCAGAAAATAAAACAAAGAAAAATCCCCCACAAAAATGATACTGATTCCTAGTTCAAAGAAGTGGTATAAATCCTAGCAGGAACTTGTCAGCCAGAAGCCAATCCCCAGCCAGAACTTTCATGGCTCTGTATGAAAGCAGGCAAATTTCCTTGGAGAATGTAAGGATCACCTGTGTCTGAATGAGAGTAAATCTCTCGCTGAAAATCTGTCCCTGTGAATTTCCCTGTTAGTCTTTTATAGAGTCAAGTCAGAAATCCTACCATGCTGGCCTGGAGCAGATGGACTTCCTGCATGCTTGGGAGGATTCCAGGAGGCAAATCAATGGCTGGGTAGAGGAAAGGACTGAAGGTGAGTGCTTTGCCAAGTGTCCAGTTGTGTTTAATGGCAGCCATGGTTTAGGTAAACACCTGCTTCAGGATGTAGGATTGTGAATTCAAAGAATTGAAATGCTGAGGTTTTGCTGTGTCTGGTACAAAATTCTCTATTGTATATTAAATGCAGGTGAGGTACTATCTTGGCTAATAATTAGATCCATGTCAAGGTATTAAGTAATGTGTCTTTTTCCCTTATATCATAAAGGTAAAATTCAGAACCTGTTGGCAGAGGGGATTCTGAATTCCTTGACCAGACTTGTGTTGGTGAATGCCATCTATTTCAAAGGCAACTGGGAAGAGCAATTTGACAAACAGAGTACCAGTGAAAGGCCATTCCAGATTAATAAGGTATGATGTGCTAAAATGCTGACCATGCAGTGTTAGGTGGATGTTGTCTGAAATGACCACCCTTAAGAAGAAATTAAATCTTTCAAGCAGGGTTCCCTTGGGTAGGCTGTATGAGATTCCTTATGCCCCCTCCCTTTCATTTGAACACCCTCTTTGCTGAGTTTCTGTGAACTTTCACATAATTCCTAGAACCTTTGCTATAGCACAAAGACAGGTGTGAAAGCTTGTGAACTGAAGTCTTCTTCAGTCAGAGCTTTCCTGCTGCATTTCTGCCCCTGAGCCAATGCAAAAGAAATGGCAAACCAATTTCCTTTCAAGACTTGTTTTCAGAAGTCGATCAGTGCTCTTGAGGAAGACTTGGCCCCTGGCATGGGCAGGCCATGGCTGCCCCTCAGGATCCCCTGCAGCTCTGTGTTGGTCTCCAGGTGTCCTGAGCAAGAACTGGTCATGTGCCTTCCTTAACTGCCTGGCTTTTGAAGCAACCATTGTGGAAGATTGAAGCCCTCATGCCTGTCTTGAAACTGTCCCTCCCCCTCAGTGATGAAATAAATCCAAGTATATTGGAAAGTGTTACTATAACTCTTTATATAAGGGACAGTTTCTGCTTACCCCAGACTTCCTCTGACAGCACTTCAGAGACTGCTGGGCTGACTTGGTACCTGACACTTTGCTCTCTCCCTGGTGGAATGTGTTGAAAAAGCTGGCAGGAGTATCCAGAGACACTGTTCCATTTTCTAACCCTGCAGCTGTGCAAGCTTAGAACCAGGTTTCAAGATGCACTGTCAACAGGATGTAGGGCTAATGAATAATCTCCTTTGGAGTTGTTTTGGACTATATTATGTGTTGTATTTATGTTGTGCTTTACAAAAAAATGAGGTTGGGCTGCACTTTTTGGTGTGTGATCAGTTCTCTGGTGAAATCCTAAAAGGCCCTGAGTAACTGACTGCCTGCTTCATAGTTTGAGACCAGCAGAGTAGTTGTGCACTAACTGTTGGCATCTCTGGATTTCTAGAATGAAACCAGACCTGTGCAGATGATGTTCAAGGAGGCACATTTTAACATGACCTACATTGGGGACTTCCAGACCAAAATCCTTGAGCTCCCGTATGTGGGTAATGAGCTGAGCATGATCATCCTGCTCCCTGATGCAATCCAGGATGGATCCACAGGCTTGGAAAGAGGAAGTAGTTGAGCTGAGTGCAAAGACAGCCTGAATCCTTGCAGGGAAGAAAGTCTGAATTGCACAGAGACATGCAGTCCAGTTCCAGCGCACTTGTGTTGCTAGTTCTCCAGGCCAGGTGAAATGTCCCTCTGCTCCCTGTCCCCAAAGTGACTGCCCCCCTGTGTCAGTGCTGCTCAGGCTGTGTGCTGCTCCCGTAGCCAGAGGCTCTGGAAGAAGAGCTGGCCCTGCTCAGGAGCAGAGGTCAGCTGTGTCTGTGGTGAAGGCACAGTTTGGTGTTTCTGGAATGTGGAGAGGGGGATTTTGGGTGGGTTCTTTGCCAGTCCTGTGGCTTGTTCTGTAGATCTCCTGTGCTGAGCAGCTGGCAGGTGGAGTGTGGCTCACAAGAATGGGGAGGATGTCTTTTGTGGTGAGGGTAGGTTACAAGTTTGGGCTCTTTGGCACTCTGGACAAGGTGTTCATTACTAAAGTATCTTCAGTCTTTTATTGCCATATTAAAAAATATGAAAACCCCCACAGTCTTCATGTGTAACCCAGGGGAAAAAAGGATGTGTGTTTTGTGCTATGTGAAGAAACACATAGAAATCACTACTTTGTCTATGTAACACTGACTCAATTCTCAGTGTGATTAAGAAAATTTGGATTTTTCTCTCAGCTGGAAAAAGAACTCACATATGAGAAGCTGATGGTTTGGATCAGTCCTAAAATGATGGAGTCTACAAACGTGCAGGTGTCTTTACCAAGATTTAAACTGGAAGAAGATTACGATCTTAAACCTAGTTTAAGAAGTATGGGAATGCTGGATGCATTTGATTCAGGGAAGGCAGACTTTTCAGGAATTTCAGCTGGCAATGAGCTGGTGCTCTCTGAAGTGGTTCACAAGTCCTTTGTGGAAGTCAATGAAGAAGGCACAGAAGCAGCTGCTGCCACCGGGCTGGTCGCTAATTGCTGTGCAGCGAGAGTACCGGAATTCACTGCTGATCATCCCTTCCTTTTCTTCATCCGGCACAACAAAACTTGCAGCATTTTGTTCTGTGGCAGATTTTGCTGTCCCTAAAGAGGAGGTGTCTTGGCAGCATTGCACTTACTGTGCCATGACACAATAAATTTACATTTCCCTGGAACAAGGTGACTCCTTTTGCACTAATTGTCTCTTTCAGCTGTGCCTGAACCCTCTTCTGTGGCCTTGATCTTGGGCTTGGCAGGAATAACAGAGCTGCTTAGACAAGCGCAGCACCTGCCATGCCCAACCCCTCCTGTGCCTGGCTGCAGAGCTCTCCAGGTTCTTGCTGATAGAAGAACCATCCCTTTTGTTCTGTGGGTGCTTCTTCTGGGCTTGACCTAACTTTGGGTGTCCAGCAGGCAGAGTCAGGTGGTGACAGCCCATGGGAGAGAAGAAGTTCCTCTTGCTTGTGACAAGGCTGGAGCACATTTGTAGCTCCCCTCCCCTTTTATCTACCGGTCCGTTCAATTTCATCCTTGATATCTTGCCTGGAACTGAAATCAGTCTTTGGCAGCCTGTTCCAGGTATTGCTGAACATCCTGTGTAGATATGCGGTTTTGGATAATAACTAGACCAGCACTTAGTAAGGAACAGTATTGCAGCAGATGTCCTTTTAGGGTGTTTATGGGGTGAGAGCCATCACTACATGAGATCCTGAGCTTATTCCCTTCACCTGATTCTAGTCCTTTTATAAGGAATGTGGTATACCAAAGACAAAACTGAAACAGCTTTCCTGACTCAGGGATGTTTTTTTGCACTTTCTGATTTTGGAATACTAAAAGAACTGTAAATGCTGCGGAGGTCTATTTCTTTTTGCTACTATTAATACTGCATTTTTTATCCAGTTTTCTCAAAATCCCAATTACTTCTTGTAATACCAGCTTCTATGCAGCTTGTGTGGAATTCATTGCTACACACAAGATTTTTCTGTATAATGAGGCCTGAGGTGCTTACTTGCGTTGCCATGCATTAGTGGTTGGCCTGGAACGAGTTTATAGTAAGGGGGTCCCTAGATAATAGTTTTTTCTGGGCAGGACTGCAACGCTTCCTCTTGACTTTTTGCAGAGATTCAAATCAAGGCTTGGTGGACATTATCCAAAAGGTGCTAGATGACCCTATCCTTTATGCTGTGCTTTATTCAGCTTTATCCAGCTATCTCACATGAAGCAAACAAAAGCATTATTTGCAGGGGAGAGGGATGAGAGCCAACACGTTTGTCACCAGGAGTCATGTCATACACTTCAGTTAAAGGGCTGCTCTGCACCTGAAACCAATATGGGCAGTATAGTTGGGGACATCCTGGGAGCCAGACCGAGAACTGATGGAGAACAAAGATAATGATAAACCAAATAAAACTCTCCGTGCACTTACTTTCTTTGAAATAAAAAACAAAACAAAAAAACCCTGCGGAATAACTTTATAAAAGATGGATGTAAATAGGGACGCAGGGTGGGAAGGCAGAGAGCAGCCTCCCTGGACAGCCGGCGTGCGCTTGCCCCTCGAGTCTAAAACACGTGTATCGCTAATCGCTGAGGCACGGAGGGGGCTGTTGGTTAGTCCCACTCCCGAAGCTCCCTCTTCTCTCGGACGGGAAACGGGAGTGGCCTCGGGGTGCCACCTGCCGCTCCGCCCCCGCCCCGCCCCGGCGGGGACCCGCGGGTGTCACCGCGCTGTCACCGCGCAGCTCGGTCCTTGCGATCCGCCCCATCCCACCGCGCTCCGCTCCGCGCTGCCCGGCAGGTAGGCAGGCAGGCGGCCCTGGGCTGCGCTGGGGCTCCGCGGGGCTGCCTCCAGCCCGGGGCATCCTACGGGAACGGGACGGGAAATGGGAATTTTTTCTCGCCGCCTCAGCGGCGGGACGAGGGGGCGCTTCTCGGACGCCGGAGGGGGGGCAATGTCGAACAGCTGGTTTGGGTGAAAGGCTTGCACAGGGAGGTGTAAGAAAACGAAAGTGAAACTACGCCTTGGGGCTTGCGTTTGGGTATTTTTAGGGGCGGTCTGCCTTTAGCCTGCAGCTCGGTAAGAACGTCGCAGAGCTGCCGGGTGTTTATCTGTCTGGCACGGAGGAAGCCGATAGTGATAATTTGCAACTGCTGTAGGAAGACTGTGCAAGGAAGCACAAATTGTGGTGTAAACTCCTCCACGCGGTTGGGTCCGGAGGAGAAAAAAAAACAAACGGGGAGTCCGGCTGCAAGCAGGCACAGAGCAGCCGGGCTCTGAGCCGGCCGAGCGGGAAGCTCACACGGCATCCAGCGCTGACCCTCGGGTGCGGTTTTGTGCCGGACCCGGCCCTTGCGCCTTTCAGGCCGCTCTTGAGCATCTCCCCAAAATGCATCGCTGCTCAGTGTCAGCCCTGCAGCTTTGCCTGTTCTGCGCCTCGCTGGTGTCCTCGCCGGTCGGTAGGTCACCTGCAGCCCCCAGAACCCCCCGGTGGTCCTAGGTGCGGAGGGCAGGCGGCTCCGAGCTCCCGGCAGTGCAGGCAGGGGACAGCGGTGCACTCCACCGCTGAAAGTCAGCGTCCGCAAAGCCTTTGGCAGGGTTGACATCTCTCAGAGACAAAGATCTGTGGCATGAAGACGGGCAGGTTACTGAGAGGTGTCTGAGTATCCCTGGGCAGATACTTTCAATGTCCACTGTGCATTGTAAAGGAACAGAGGGAGTGCTGCGGGAGGGAGAGCCCTGGCATTTGCTGGGTCTGTGAAGCTGAGGGACTTTTGCCATCCTACCAGCACATATACTTCCAATTTCAGATCTGCAGGAAAGGAATTTTTAAAAATAATGTCTATAAAGTTAGTATGATAAGGAAGGTTGGAGTACACAATTCACACGGAAAAGAATCCGCTGCTTTTTCAATGTGACTGACTTATTTTTAAGAATAAGGTGCACTGAAGACGATGTTCTTGCTGTTTCTATAAGCAGCTGCATCCAGTTTAATCCAGTCTTTACTGTGTGAGTCACACAAGGTTAGACAAGTTGTTTGAAGAATGTTTCCCAGGGTTCTTATCAGTTGTTTTCTTTTTCAGCTATAACCATGGAGAACCTGTCTAATGCCAACAGCAGATTTGCACTTGATCTGCTCAGAAGGTTTAGTGAGGCCAACCCAACAGGCAATGTCTTCTTTTCTCCTGTCAGTATCTCTGCTGCTCTGGCCATGGTCCTTCTGGGGGCCAGAGGTAATACAGAAGCTCAGGTGTTGAAGGTTAGTAAAAAAATATGGACATTCATTTTATATTTTATTTACATTAAAAAGGGTTGTGTTTTAGAGGAGGGAAGATGAAATGAGGGTATTTTTATCTGTTCAGGACAAGATTTCTGTCACGCACACTGAGTCTTCCTTGGACTCTGCAGCAAGTTACCCACTGCCTACCCTGCTCCAGGGCCCTCTGCCTATATTTCCTGTGACCCTTTTTTACTCATTTAATTTCACTAGTTAATTCTTGACAGAGGAAACGAATTACATTAGTCAGTCTCCTTTTAAATTGATCACAACTTTCAGCAGCAAGGCTTTATGAGTTTTCATGAGACATTTTGACAAACTACTACTTTATAACACAAGATTACTAAGGGTATGTTCATTTTTAATAATTCTGTGTGTTCTTGTAAAAAACACAGTAGCATTCTATAGTTTTATATCTAAGGTGTAGCAGCTATGATGATACATGGTGATGCTACCTGAGTAGCAATCTCTCACTAGCGGGCTCTCAGATATCTGGAAGGAGCGAAGCCTGCATGGTTATCCTTTGTGATAGATTGGCATTTGAGAAAACAAAGAGAAACACCTAAGGAAGTTAAAACTGCTGGAGGCTGGTGGGAGTTTTTCTCCTGGCCAATAACTGGCCATTTCTGAGAATTGACAGCAGTTTTGACCATTGAAAAGTGAGATCAACCTGTGAACACCGCCTTAAGACCTAAGCCCGGGAATTTCTTTGACTCTCTTTGTTTCTGGCTGGGTAAAGTAACAGAGCTGCGGCTGGTCCCGCTCCCCCCACGGCCTTGTCTGGCCTGGACTCCGGCAGCTCCCAGGCAGGAGGGATGAGGACTGTGGGGTGGCAGGAGCCCCTTCCCAGAGGGGCTGAGCTCTCAGAAGGCTCACTGAGCCTCGTACAGCGGGCCTGCCGGGCCAGGCCAGTCCCCGGCTCGGCTGCGGTTTCTGCCGCTGCTGGGTTTCACCAGAGACTGCCGAGTAAGGGGAGGGAAAGCTCTTGACCTGCGGCCGGCTGAGACAGTGGCCACACTCTCCAGAGCAGCCATGGAAAATCTTCCATCGCAGACAGCTCCAGCTGCTGCTCCGGCAGAGATCACAGAACATCTACAAAGACTGGGCAAGATTTTAACTCTTTCACTACCCAGATGAGACTTGCAGATTAATCCTTTTTTTCCAGATAGAGGAGAAGAGAGGGAGTGATCAACAAGTAAAGAGACAACATAAACTATCAAAGACAATGAAGAAGGGAATTAAGCTTCAGATGTGGGAGAGAAATAAGGAGATGCTTTAATAAGCTGAAATATTCTTTTGCTAAAACTATGGAGATGGACAATAATGTTCTGAAAAAACTCCTTTAATTCATGACAGAATATATTGGGGGGAATGGGGTATTTCAAAATGTGGGTTTAAGCAAATGGTGAAGTAGTTGTGATCTTACGAAATGCAGGAACAGAAAAAGAGAAGTGATAGTTGTTGAAGATTTATGGCCCTTAAGAGGCAAAGAGAAATCTTCTGTTTCCAGACATGTTCACAGAGATAGATGAAGAGAACTTCTGCCTTTCAATAACTCATCCTTAAAATGACACCAGTTAACCCATGATCCATAACACATCTCAGAGTAGTGTGAAATGGGAGGAGAGAGTTTTCTGGGCAGCTGGCATCAGAAAAATAGAAAGCCATGAGAAAAATAGTTTTCTTGTGAAAAACTCCATAAATTGGCAGAAGAGAACTTATTTTTCTCTACAAAGACTGATGAAAAGACTATAGCAAACCTGAGACTATTTTAACCACCAAGTTTTTCTGCCTCTGTGTTGTCACGTAAACAAGGGAATGGTTGTGTGGTGGAGAAAAAAGGTTTCTGGAGGTTTTATTCTGGTTTCTTATTCTTGTAGTTTTGTTAATAAACTTTCTTTATTCCTT